ATTTTTAAAACTGTTGTTTATGTAAACTTGCAACCAATCAAAATCCTTCATGATGCTGATCAACCAATCAGATTTCCCGTCCACCAGGTGGACGGGAATTTCACACTTTAGATAGGTTTTGTGTCAGGCCCTATTCTGTGATTAGGGCCTGAACTTCAGGTTAAATTTCACCCGAAACCTATAGTTGCTGGCACAGGTGCCCCAGCAACTAATTAACAATTATTGGACGAGGTTTTTGTGACATGCGGAATTATCAAGGTCGAGATAAGCGTTATCAGCTAAGCCGAAGGCGGTCCGTAAAAACCCATATCCGGACCGCGGTCCGTATTTTCCGAATCTGGACGGACTGGACCGGTGTCCCAGATGTTTATCTGGCGGGAAATTTTTGCTTTGCAAAGAGAAAAAATTTTTGCTTTTTAAATTTCCAATTGTGCTTTACAGATAAAAAATTCAAACAACTAAATTGTTTTTGATTGAGTATGCATGCATGCCTACCGTTTATTGTTACCCAGTGAAACCCAGTGTTATTTGGTATATTTACCCAGTGAAACCCAGTGGTACCGTTTATTGTTACCCAGTGACGATAGCCGATTTAATTCGCGCGAAAAGCATATGCTCACAGACTCAGTTCAGCCATATAATAAGCCGATTATTGACCTCCCTTGTTCGGTCTGTACTGTGAAATATCAGACCTCTGTTTTTTGCATGGACCTCGCTCCTTCGTCGCTCGGTCCATACTAAAAAACCTCGGTCTGATACTTCACAGTACAGACCTCACGCTCGGTCAATAAGCCGTTATGAGAGCGAGAAATAATTATTGCCCGTTCAAACAAAGTCAAATGTTGGTCCAAGAAATAGAGAAACCAATTTAGCACTAAGCCAAAAGACAATTCGGCAAAACGTGCAAATGGTACGGAACTTTGGGATACTTACCTATGAGGAAAAAGTTACTATATTCCAAGTGTCAGGATTTTGGGCATCTCACTCGATATAACTAATTGTCGAAGGAATTTGTAGATGGAAATTTCGAGTGGAATTTTTATACATTAGGTCTAAAAATGTATATTTGTATAGACCCATTGCACATGACGTCATAGCGCCGGTGACGATGCATCTGGAGGACACATTAGCAATCTATGTATATAATATAACTTTTGTAAACAAAGCAAATTTTGTAAAAGTTTATAATAATTACTCGATGGGGCACTCTGTGCCCCGGACGAGTATAGGTTTCGGCTTGCATTTTTCACGGATCACGGATCATGGATCTCCATCGTCGATAGCCACAAAATAGAATATTAATGAGCTGCCTAATTTTCCCCAAATTATCCATAACAAGACGCTCTACAGAGCGTAAACTCGCTGGGGCTATACAAATGAAAACTAAATTTTGTCACGATATTTGCTCATAATTTGGTAACCGCTACAGAAAAACAGAACAATTTACAGTAAATTACAACAGATTGCGGAAGTGGGAAGGTTCTTGTGTTTTGACTGTAACATACTGTAAAAGGTAGCCATTACCAGTAAGTTAGTACAGTAGCGCTAACATCAAGTTTTGTTGCCGCTATACCTGGGCAGTTTACAGATATAGACAAGTATAATCAACTCGAATACAGTTTAGAGTGAGACTTTATTTAGGAGAAATAGAACAGAAAGAGCTGACAGTTCAGTTAGCAATACTTACAGATACGCATCGAAGTATCATTATGCAATAAAAGAATCACAGATTTTTCTACAGTATACATCGTATAAAAACAAAATTCTGAAACAATCACTAGGACTATTTGAAGTTTAAATATTCAGTTTGAGTATGAATTATGATTATATAATCACAGAATAAATCTTGCATCTGAACAAACCAAACTTGGCAAGTTATTTAATGCATGGAAAGTATTTCTGTAAGCTTTTATAATGTTTATTTTTTATGAAGCGTCGACAGTTCAATTTCAATGATTTACCAGTATTCGGCCCAGTAGAGACGGCGATGTTCGTTGTAAAGGTACCAATAAAGAGGGCCAATCAATATACGTTAGTCTTGTCCTCGAAGAATTAATGCGCGAATCAAATCGAAACCTTGACATCCCCCCCCCCCGGGCATACCTGGGGAATTTGCTTGTTTAGTATTTTAAGAAGGCGGGAATTTGACCTTTTTTCCTAGTGGAAGGTGGGGAATTTGAAGGGGGTCGGGAATTTGAATTTTTCTTTTAAACACGTGTGCAGAATCCAAAATGGCGTCAATGATTAATGGATGAGTTCAAGGTCTTCAAGTGCAAAGGAATTAACTTTGTCCTTGGTTGGCTACAAGAAAACGGCTTTGAACGATTGAAGAGAGTTTTTGAAGGAAAGAAAAACTTTGAAATTCCAAAATTGCGAAATGCTGTAGCTTCCAATTCGTACATGGGGTGGGGTATTTGAACTCCAATTTTTCCCAATACGTGGTGTATTTGAACGGGAATTACAAATATATGTAGGGAATTTGACCTGACCAAAACGTCAAAATCCAAATTCCCGGGGGTATGCCCGGGGGGGGATGTCAAGGTTTCGATTTGATTCGCGCATAACAGCCGTATTTCAAGGAACTTGTGAAATCGCCAAAAACCCACTTTAATAGCAATATTAATTGAATAGCGTACAAATTCACGAACAATTCATAGCGTCCATTCCAGCCCGTGATCAGAATAGTGGAGACACCACAATGAAGTTTAATAGTGATGAAATAAATTAATGAGCATCAGCATTCCATTGTAAACATATCATCATTCTTCATTTCAATTAATAGTCGAACATATTTCGTTGTATAAAGTGATGTGTTGGACATTTTTCTACAAAATAAAGAATTACAGAAAGTTGAATATAAATATACTTAAAGGCAAAGGTCCACACAGACCGGACGCGTTCGGCAACGCGACGCGAATTTTCAATTTTCAATGACATTTAACTTGAATATTTTTCTATGGTTTTTAAATATTCGGAACCACTTAAGCAATTTTAGCTATTTGGTCTGCATATTTTGTAACATTTTTATCCGTTGACGGTTTCATTTGTTTTTAAAAACTGAAAATTCTCGTCGCGTTGTCGAATCACGTTCGGTCTGTATGGACCTTAACAGTGTGTCAATATATGAACATATTTGATTGGATTTGCCCCAGAGCTACAATAAGCTCATCGATATAGTGACAGCGTATAGATAAGATCGTTTGTTTGTGCCTTATGAACTAGATGACGATTTAATGTTAACTCATTAAGTGACAGCGCGCTCCCCTTGACAAGTAAAATCGTCTGCCATTAGACAGAGTAAGTGGGCCATATTGTCTCTTAAAGCAGTGAATATAAATCCTTTTACTCATTATACATACTCATAGGAAGACTAACGCCTGTATTCGATCTGACCTTTCCTCGAGGGTCAATGCTGTTTTTGAATAGCTGGAGGGTTAGTGCTGTGCCGTACTATGCGACTACTGACCGTCCAGCTATTCAAAAATAGCATTGACACTCAAGGGAAGCTGAGATTGAACCTCCACTCATTGAGTGTGAGTGAGCTTGAGAATACAGGTGTAAGTATATAAATCATAACTACTTTGGGACATACCTTAACATAATTGGTGACAATTTCCCCAACTGTCTCATTTCAAACTTTCAGTCCTAAAAGAAAACATTTTGAGTGATGAATTTGAGCTTACAGCGCAATTGAGATGTAGTGCATGTGTACTATACTAAGTATAGTCAATGTACATGTTGCATCTAGCTTCAATTTAAAAATGATTGAACATACCTTGTTTGCATGGAACTCCAGGAGACTCCTCACGTCAGTCTCTTTGGGGATCTACCAGAATCCCCCATCCCAGTCTCTGCTAGACTGGATTTTCATTTCAGCGATTTTTTAATATTCGATTAGTTTTTCTGCTGCAATTAAATAGTGCGAGTTTAATGGGTTATATACCGTAACGTTATTGAAACTACTGGCGTAATACTACATGTCAAAATTTTTAATGAAACTATATACTTGTCAAAATCTTACAGTTACCTTAACAGCCTCATGATCTGAATAATACACACTTACAACGTTTGCTTCCATTTTATTGCTTATTGACTGTTTTACGTAAACATGATCGAGAAGACTTCCGGATGAAACAAATGTTGGTTTACTTACAAGTTGCACATAATTTAAAGACTCGGCGAGTACTTTCAATGAAGAAATGTTCTTTTCATTAAAATAATCAATATTAAAATCTCCAAATATAACGTCAATATCCAAGCTAGTTATTATGTAATGTAAGCAAGCTATAAATTGCTGAATGTCACCTCCGTGCTTACGATAAAGCAGTAGACAGGATAAGGTATTCCCATCGGAACGATTAAGTAAAAAGATTAAGTAAAAATCGTAAACCATTTATTGAAGTGAAATATTCTGTATCACATAGAGTAATAGTGTCTTTGTAGCAAACAGCTAGACTCAAGAATTTGTCAGAATTATGATCTTGTCTGTGTATAGAAAAATCGTTAAGGATTGAGTTAATATCATCATTTGGTACACTGGTTAAAAGTTGAGTTTCTGTAAGGGCAAACACATCACATTTGGACAAGATTGGGTCATCTCTTAAGTCAAGACTGTGTTTTTTAAATGATCTAATATTTAAAAGACAAATTGAGACAGTTTCTATGTTACATAAATCTGTTGTAATATGCGGGTGGAGACTCGAAGTTTCACGCAATCTCTCGTATTCTTCCTGGACTTTAGGATTTGCTCGAATATGTTTACTTTCAAGTGTTCCTAAAATATGTAGACCATTTAAGGACGTTGCTCGACTAAGTGCTACATATACCTGACCATAGTTAAAATACCTTTGCTTTTTTAAATCAAAACTGACGACAATGTTATCTAGAGTTAATCCTTGTACTTTATGAACAGTGCATGCCCATGCGAGAGTTACAGGAAATTGTAATCTTTGCATTTCAGGAGATGATGGTTTTCCTGGTCTGACTTTAATTCTCGCCAATACAGGTTTGATAGGAACAAGATTGTTTTCTCTTGCAAAACTACTGGACGAATTTCGTATAGCAGATACTCCAGCATTACTGTCATCAAATTTAACAAAAATTGTGGAGGGTTTATTACTAACATTGTCAACAGAAACTTTTATTACTGTACCTAACTGGCTATTAATTAGTCGATCGCTAATATCCACATTAGTTGTGAGCATAACTCTCGCATTTTCTTTGATTAGGATTTTAGTGTCAAGCCCTCCAGTTTCGGATCTTCCTTTAGACAACACTCTTTCGATATCCTGTTTTCTAACATGAGGTGGGAATTGATCTAAAGCTTTTAAAACGTACTGTGGTGATTGAATTTGTTGTAGGCGGTCAATATTGTACTCATCTACTGGTGCATTTTCTGCAAAGATGTGTAATGCATCCGATGGGTAATTTTCATCACCTGCAGTTATTGTTCTGGATTGAATACACCTGATGTCATCGTCTGTATGTGAAGCGGTGCGCACTCTATTTAATAGTTGAGTGAAGGCGAGGTCATCTTTTTGTCTCATGATCTGTGTTAGTTCTGCCATTTTAAAGACATGCCAGGGATGGTGTAGATTGAATGTATCATTCTTATAATTTGAAAATGTTGTTGCGCTTCGAATTGTTGGTAGCTGAAAGAAATCTCCGAAAACAAGTACACTGATTCCTGCAAAAAGTTCACTATTAGGTGTAACAAATATTTCTTTCAATCTCTGGTGAATATGCAGGAGACCCATGTTTGAGACCATTGATATTTCATCAATTATGATTAGTTTTAATTCAGCCAAAGACAATCTCATTTGTGTTCTTCTCTGATCAGACATTGCAGGTACATTATT